ATATTGGATCTGCCTCTTCTTCATGGATACACACCTGGTTTCCTGGTGTGCTGGCAAGAGGACAACCCCCCTGTTTTATCCAGACTTAGGACCAGCTGCCATTTTCTGTAGGTGGACTTGAACAGTAGCTTTAGACAAAGAACAAGATCTCCTTTACTTCAAACGCCAAAGCCAGAATATGTTGGTAATTCTTAGCTACTAAACTAACAGGAAACATAAAATGCATGTGAGAAGGATATTCAAAGCTTTAAAATTCAGTATCATTTACATCTTCCAGATTATATTCTTTGACATTATTTTTATCATACCTACAATGGCTAAATTGCTTGAGGTAGCTTATCTTCATATTACAGAACTAAGGGATATCAATACCTAATCCTCTCAGTATGTTGGCCATTTATTTTATTCAAAGAAGACTGCAAATTTAAAAGCATACTTTTACACTAAAAGAACAGATGTTGCACGTGATCTTAGCCAAAAAGCTGAAAAGCTTATTGTTCTATAAAGCTGCTGCATCTTTTAATTGCCTGATTCCTTTGGCAGGACCTTTCCTATAAACCGTCCCAAAAGCCAATGCGGGATGGAGAAGATTAGGAGAAAGCATTCTGAAAGAAGAAATCTACACTCAAGCACATTTAAATAATTTCTGTTTTTCTGACAAGAATATAGAGACATGCACTATGCTGGTCTATGACCATAATAAATACACTATGCCCTTCACTGTCCTTTTCTTTCACAACAAAAATTCTGTGAGATATGTTGAGCTCTGATAACATGTAGAGAACCACAAAAATGGCCTTGATGAGGGTATGTGATGGCTGTTACAAAAACTTGATTTAAGCTCAGTACAGGAAGAACACATTAGAAAAAAACACATTCTCTGCCTTTACCTTGACATTTTTTGGTATGTTAGGCTTTCAAGATTCTGTTATTGTTGTTAATATAAATTAAAGAGAATTCTACTACATTTTGTCAAGTCTGTTTCCTGACCTGGCTATTTTCATCGAGAAAGATTCTTCCATATAAATCCAAGAAAACCTGCAAATTACAGGGTCCAGAACTGTCACAGAATCACAAGGATTGTAAATCTACAATCACT